TAAATAATTTTAAATTAGTTAAAAACACCAAGTTTGTAGTAAATGTCATTTCTGTATTCATGGTGGTTTAATTTTTGGAGGGAAAAAAAATAAAAAAAATAAATATTTAAAATTCTACTTAAAAATGCAAATATAAAGTTATTATAAAATTTCTATTAATGGTGGTAAAAAAAAAACATTACTAATTTATTATTTAAATGTCTTGTTCAAAATGCAAGCGCAAGGTTTTTAGAAAAGGTCATTAAAATTTTTTTTTTTAATAAATGATTGAAAAAGGCTTAAAAAAAAAAAATCAAAATTCTATACACCTTAGGTGTACACATCATTTTCAAAAAGTATTTTATGATGCAATTTCATATTTTCATATCATATATTTTTTATACCAAAAATATCAAGATTATTAAAATAAGAAGAAAAACACTTGACTGATCTTGACAATTACAATGTATTAGACAGACTATAACAATCATCATACTACCTACCTAGACATTTCATTGACCCATAAACATCCTATTTGCAGTCATCCATGATTTTTGCAAGTAGAAGTTGTCTAATATTAGGATGTTACTGAGACAAATTGAGAAAAACTTTATGCTACTACCAAGTCTTCATCTTAAGTGAGTGTCCATGATTTTTAATGTTTTACTTGTACTTAATTTCTATAACTGTAAAACCTTAGTAACAAGGGAAAAATAAAAATTATTACTGTAATATCAGCAGTAAAGTAAAATCACATATTATTAAAGACTTCCTACCATCTAACACTTACTTTGTTCGATTGGGATGAGTTCATCCGAAGACATTCCAGGTGCGACTATGTTAGGATGCACAACTACAACGTTAAAAGGCAGGCTGCTTGGCAACCCACCATTCTCGTGGTCACAACTCCCCTCTGAGTCTTCATCTTCCCTGGGGAAACCGTCCTCTGAAACCCCGCATCCAAAGGGCCCCTCTGGAGACTCCACTTTGATGTGCATGGGAGGTGAGTGCTCATACAGCAACCCCCCCTCCTCGTAGTATTCAGTCATGGATATGTTGTGGTTTACAGACACACCAATGTGACTGGTGGACAGCATGCCATTCACAAGGAGGGTGAAGAGCCACCATGCTGTTCCATGGCAAGGCGTTCATTGCTTCATTGTGATGTCTAACAAGAATAGCCTTAATAATGGGCTCAGTAATACACAGTCACAGAAAATAGATATTTGCTACGGGACAGTAATAGGTTAACGTGTCATTTTAGAAAGGGGCTGTGTTCATTTACACTGATTCTACGCAATTATTGCGATGTTTTTGTTGACTGTATCTTACTAACGTTAGACCAAGAAAACCAAAACCTGTGGCTTCAGTCCAAAAGCAAAACTCGGAGATGTTCTTCTGATATTTTGTTATGTTTGATATTATGTATTTGTATCATTCATTACATGCAGACATCTTAGAGCTCTCCTAATTGACATTAAATCTGGCAATGACAAGTAAAAATCCGAGGCTACTGAGGAGAGGGTGAGAAATAAAACAAAGAATGCATGGATAATATAGTTGAATTCACATTTAACTAATTGTTTAATTAAGGGAATATTTTAAATATAAAGGCCAAAATTACCTGTGTCGCAGCAATGCGCATATATTCTGCACCACATCCGCAATGGATGCGCATTCCGCATAAATTACGTTAGCCGCCACTAGCTCTTCTCAAGCAAATACTGCTGTTCGTGTAAAGTCATGCATGCGACGTGCCCGCATTACGAGAAAGATCTAGTTTTGGAAAGAATAATCCGCACTCACACCGTCGTACTGTGATAAATGGATAGAAAGTTTTAAACACAATACTAAAATGATATAAGTGCATAGATGCAAAGCTAACCTCGTAAAATCCTAAATGTACACAGAATCCAAATCGTCGCAGGAATATGACATCACACAAAGATATTTGCCGTGTGGCTATTTCTGAAACCCTGAAAGTGATATTTTATAAATGTAAACGACGATAGTATATTTAAACACGTCAGTCTTTTGTCATCTTGCACAAAAAAAAAATTAAATAATTAAAAATAAAAACCGAAATAAAAGGAGTTGGTATGTACAATTCAAAAAGTGCTGTGAAATGCATTAGGCCTACAAGTTTGCCTTAACTTTTCAAAACATAAAACACTTAATAATAGTTTTATATTAAACACTGTGTTTTCAAATGCAGGTGAAACAAAAAGTCAGCTTGGTGCTAACCTAGATTTAGTTTAGTAGCTATTCCAGATGTTACCACATAAGTCTTCTAGAGCAGTGATTCACAACCCTGGTCCTGGAGACACCCCAACACTGCACGTTTTGCATGTCTCCTTAATCAAACACACCTGATTCAGGTCATCAGCTCATAAGTAGAGACTCCAAGATCTGAAACTGGTGTGTCAGAGAAAGGATACATACAAAATGTGCAGTGTTGGGGTGCCTCTAGGACCAGGGTTGGGAACCACTGTTCTAGAGAATTTGGTGCTTGCACATTTATGTGATTATTTCTATTTATTCTCCACAGTTGTCAATGCATAAAAATAAGTAGTAGTAATAAGAATAAATAATAAGTGGAAATAAAAGTAACAGTCTATGCTGTCTAAATGAGAAAAAGTAGGAAAAATATATGATGCGCTTGATTAAAATAATATAGCTGCTCCGAGATCACATTATTGAACAAAAAACATGCAATGGCTTGGACTACTTTTATTAATTGCTCTCACCGGAGTGTGAAGGATCCCTTTGCTTAAAATCATCCTCCCTTATATACCTATTTATGCAACTGGACTTTTGATTCAAAACTGAGATATATCCCTTGTGACAATGTCCAGATGCATGTGGCAACTAGCCTGCTTTCCTTAACAAAGTGATACTGATGTATATAATGCGGAACTAAATCTAGAATTAATTTTTCTCAAATATAATAAAGGCAGACAATAAAGTATTTATCACAGAAAAAAACTAAGATTCAGCTTTTTTTTTTAATCCTTGTATAGCCTTCGTTTGCCACCTGTATGCTCCCACAAGAGCTAATTATTTATTTGTGATTTCTTGGAATTACCAATGGAGCAAAAAAACACACAGATTCAACCACACGGTGCCAACCACAAGTAACTTTTTTGTAAAGTTTTGTTTCTGTCCACCTCCTTTTTAGGTAAAAATGTTTCATTATTCACTTGGTGGACATAATTTTCAAATTATGAATTTTAAAAGTGACATGCCTAACATAATGCGATGCCTAGTATAAATAATTAACAATATCTTAATAAAAGTGTCCTTACCAGTCTGTATGTCCTAGAACACAAGGTGGTAGATATTCTAGAGGTACATGGTACTTCACTTTCCTTAACCATGTTGAATTTATGTATATACATCACACATACATGTACATTTATTTATTTAAATTGATATTAATCTATTTACATTATGATATTAATGATATATGATATTAATATTTACATAAATATATGTACATATCATGAAAATTCAAAAGTAGATAAATAGAAATATAAAGAGGACAGTCATATATAATTATGAAAATGTGTGAAAGGTAATTCGGATTGTAATTGTAACAATATAGCCTGAATGTTTAAAAATGAGTTTTAAAGATCTGTCCACCGTAGCTGACACCATGCCTCAAAAGGTTAAAACAAAACACGTTAAACCTAGTTTTCTTATGGTTTTTTAAAAGCCTAACCAGGGACTTTTAGTTATTAGCTTACAGTCATGGCCAAAAGTTTTGGCAGAGATATAAATTTTGTGTTTCTATTGACTCATTATATTTTTTGCCAATAAAAGCCTTTAAAACTTATGATATGCTTATCATTGTTTTTCAGTATACCATAGAAACATGTGGAAAATAATCTACAAATACTGAAGCAGCAAACTTTGCAAAACACAAAACTTATGTCACTGCCAAAACTTTTGGCCATGACTGTACAAATGGAGAAGCTGCTGCTCGCAACTGTGCAGCAGTGTTATTCACCGTGCCTGTGTGAAATGTCTGATTAAACATTTCTAAATTGTTTGATAGAAGATAGCGTCTCCAGAGACACCTTGAACGGTTTAGCTGCCACATGTTGATTCAGTTGAATATTTTCCCATGTCATGTTTATTTAAAGTCACAGGTTCGTAAGAATTTTGTAACATTTCAGAAAACAAGGTTACCGTCAGCCAAGATTTTACAGCTTATTTACTAATGGAAAATAATACAGTCACAAAGAGTTATTCATCAGTGCCCACTTTCAATGAACTGGACTAATGTTACAACTTAAAATGGTTTCTACAGTCTGAAATAAATTGGCATTTTTGACAAATACAAAATACAATATGTTTTCCCACTCAGTCATCCCTAATGTGCTCATTTTCCAATTCCTGGATTTGATCACTTTGTTTAAAAATAATAAAAGAGCTCTTTAAAGTGAAACTCCACAGACTGTGCTGACAATCACATTATACAATGTAATTAATTTAACTAACTTTTTATCATAACATTTTTTAAACTAATTTAACATAAGCACCGATTTTAACACAAATATAGGCTATATGCAACATTAGTCAAGACTTAAATCTGATTACAATTAAGTGGCTTATCTTCAAAATTCAAGAGCTTGTCATGATAAAAATAAATAAATATATAACATTAAAACATTTGTTTTTGTTTATACTTCCTTAGTACCTAAACATTTTTCTTTAAGGAGCACATATCAATATTTACTTCTCATGACAGATATGTAACCAAAATGTCCCCTTTTTAAATAATTGCTGCAAAAAACATCTTAGAAAAATAATAAGAAACATCCATTAATTAATGATTTGTGAATATAGTTTCTTACATAAAATGATTTGAAATAACATCCTAAGAGAATCTGTACATTATGATAAAGCACATGCTGGAGTCACACACTGCTTGCTTATATAATGAATGCGTGTATGCCCTTGAACATTATTTCAAGCTGTGGAGTAGACGGAGTATAAAAAGAGGGTCTTAAAACCTTCAGAACACATCACTCAGCAGCTTCAACATGAAGGCTCTCATTCTTCTGGCTCTGTTCGCTGTGGCTTGTAAGTAATGGGGCAGGGGAGATTTAGAGAATTATTAATACAGATCTCTTAAGTAAAAAAAATATATAATTCCAAGTGTTCTGTTCAATTATTTTTTGTAAAATAAAAATGTGACACTAAAACGATATATTTTCCCAGATGCTGCTCCTCTGGATGAGGATGACAAGATCGTCGGCGGATTCGAGTGTACTAAGAATGGTGTTCCATACCAGGTTTCCCTGAACAGTGGTTACCACTTTTGCGGTGGCTCTCTGATCACCAACAACTGGGTTGTGTCTGCTGCTCACTGTTACAAGTCGTAAGTGAAATATGTATTTTTGCATGTGCATAGTATTGGGGAGACTGGAACTAGTTGTCACATGGGGAAGTTTTCAAAATCATTAGATCTCAGTAACTATAAGGTTTTGAATTGAGTTGCACAAAGTTCTTTAGATTTGAATTAAGAATTATTTTTACTATATAATGAAGGAATATTAGTATTTTCTATGTTACTTTTAACATTTTATGTGTTATAAATTGTTGTGTGCTTCTTTTTTAACCATTTAAATTTCTCTGAGAGCCATTAATTAAAAAAGAAAAATGTAATGGCAAGTTTACACTACGTTTAAAAGTTTGAGGTCAGTAAGATTTTTTATAAATAAATTAATACTTTAACAAGGATGCCTTACATTTATAAAAAGGACAGTAAAGACGCTGAATATTCTGTTTTAAACAAATGCTGTTCTTTTGAACGTACTATTCATCAAAGAATCCTGGAAAAAAAGGTTTCCACAAAAATATTAGGCAGCACAACTGTTTTCAAAATTGGTAATAATAACAATATTTCTTGAGCACCAAATCAGCATCTTAAAATGAGTTCTGAGAATCTTGTGACACTAAAGACTGCAGTAACCGCTGCTAAAAATTCAGCATTAGCAAATCAAAAACATTAAAACATCTTACTGACTGCAAAAGTTTGAACAGTAGCGTGGCTATTGGGTTAGAAATCTTCAGTAGCTTTACTGTAGTCATGATTCTACTATATGTATCTAGAAATTACCTTTCAAAAATAAATTCTACAAGAGGCACATAACTTATGAACCATTAGCAATCACAATTTCAGCCAACAAAGTGCACATTTTCTTAAGTCCAATACAAACAAAATGCAGAAATTTGTTAAGGAGTTTAAAGTTTGTTGTTTTCTGTATGAACCAATAATCACTTACTCGTCTCTGTTCTCAGCTCTATCCAGGTGCGTCTGGGTGAGCACAACATTGACGTCTCTGAGGGCACCGAGCAGTTCATCAGCTCGCAAAAGATCATCAGACACCCCAGTTACAACAGCAACACTCTGGACAATGACATCATGCTGATCAAGCTGGCCAGCACCGCCAGTCTGAACGGTTACGTTCAGACCGTCTCTCTGCCTTCAAGCTGTGCTTCAGCTGGTAGCGAATGCCTGATCTCTGGATGGGGAAACATGAGCGCCACTGGAAGTGCGTACTTCATGCATAACACTTTGTACATAAATCATCAGGTCACCTTAGAATAACACAGTGAACACCTTCAAACTCACCTATTGTGAGCACTTGATGCTTCCTTAGGCAACTACCCCAGCCGTCTGATGTGCCTGTGGGCTCCTATCCTGAGTGACACTACCTGCAGAAATGCCTACCCTGGTCAGATCACCTCCAACATGTTCTGCGCTGGCTTCATGGAGGGTGGCAAGGACTCCTGCCAGGTAAGATCACTGCTAGTTACAGCGGTAATGTCATGCTAATAGATTTTAATTTGACTTCTATGAAACACTTGTGGCTTGCAGGGTGACTCTGGTGGCCCAGTGGTGTGCAGCAACCGGTTGCAGGGTATTGTGTCCTGGGGTTACGGCTGTGCCCAGAGGAACCAACCTGGTGTCTATACCAAGGTCTGCAACTACGTCTCCTGGATCAACACCACCATCAACTCCAACTAAGCTCCCACAGATTTTTTGAACCCATAATCATGGCATGTTGCAATATCATTTGGCAAACATAAAATAAACATCTGACAAACAAACATTAAAGATGTTCGATTGTATTATTTATCATTCTTAATATAGATACAAGTTTTATGAGATATGTTTTACTATTAATTTAGTTTTAAAGTCCAAACCATTATACAAGTTGTATGAGGTGAAATATGAAACCTCTTTGGGGGGGGGGTTCTCTTAACACAGAAGACTTGATTTTGAGCAATGTCAAAATGTTTAATCTGTTAACAGCAACGTCTTCAGATAAAAGTCAATTACAGCACCAACACTAACATATATCTAACTCAACAATAGGATTGCTAAATAAAACAATACTGTCCATTACAGGGAATTTCTAGTCCATATATTTGAAGATTTTTTTTTTTAATTGGGTATCAGCACATCAGTAATGTTGATATCACATGAAAAACAAATATACATCAAACATTTTCACAAGTTTCAGAAGTATGTGATTCCCATGCAAATGTTCATCACACACTCACTGAAAAAAAAAAGAAAACGTTTACAGAATATTTATATTTCTCCTCTGGCATGTTCCAAGTAATGTCCATGCAGTTCTATAAGGTTGGAAAAACAAGCATTACATTCAGTACAAATGAAGTCACCAGTTGTGTCTTCGGTCTTCAATATGGACGGTGACTGGCTTGAACCATTTAATTCTTCAATTGCTGAAAAACTGGCCTTAGTGTGTTTTTTAACCATGTGCCCCTCATTAGTCTGAGAATTCGTTTTGGTGGTGCTTGGAGCTTCAGTGTTTGGTTTTGGCTTTTGTGATGGATGTAAGGTTGAGGGACCAAAGTGTGACAACCGATGAGACATTTCTCCTCCATTTGAACGGGGGAATGAGAGTAGCTTCTCTTGCCTCTGATTATCACAAAGGCTGTAATCATAGCTTTGATGCTGGAGATGGTGAGATTGATGTTCCTCTGTCCTAAGTAGCTGGCCTCTCATTGCTATTGATCCTTTTTCTACAGCCTTATGGCGGAGCTGATGGTGAAAAAGCAAGTCCAAGTTCTCAAAACTGGCACTGCATGTACCGCATTCGTAAGGATGCACAGCGGACTGCTGGTCAATGGTGTAATGCGTCTCCATCGGATCATTTGTGCAGTGAACAACTCCGTGTCGCTTAAGAATAACAGTGCTTGCGAAACCTTTTCCGCAAATATCACAAATAAAGGGCATAGTTGAGCGGTGCCACTCTTGCTGGTGGTTCCTCAACTTTTGTGCATTTGAGAACGTGTGAGGACAGAAGGGACAAGCGTGAGCATTAAGTTCTGGATGCTTCTGCAGATGTTTATTGTACAGTCCCACAAATCGAAACCCCTGTCCACACTTGGGGCAAAAAAACCGCCCTCTTTTCTGTCTATGCAGCCGCTGATGAATCCAAAATTTGTTCCAGTTTTTAAACATCCTGTTGCAATCAATACACGTGAAGCTTTGACCCCGTGAATGAGTGAGCATATGGGCTCTCAGCCTTCCTACATGCTGGAATATTCGTCCACATTGTGGGCAGAAGTACTTTCTCGGATCTGCTTTGTGGCGCGTACTGTTCAGTTGAGATACAAAATAGCTGGATTTGATGGGCTGACTGACTGAATAGAGGTTATTCTGAGAGTCATAAACAGTGGTGGCCATGACCTGAAGAGGGCAAGCAAGTAAAGACGAGCATTTTTTGAGCTTCCTCGGGAAGGAAAAATCTTTTGGAGGAGATTTAACTGGACTTGCACTCCGCATTTTTTGAGGAGTTCTTCTCTTCAAGGAGTTTTTGCGTTGTAATCTGTGAGGTGAACTGTAAGAAGACTTTGTTTTTGCGAGCCGGATGGAAACGCAATGCTTGTTGTGCGTATGTAGCTCTGAAATAAGACTAAACGTCTGCTTGCAGCGGTCACAGCTATAACGCTGGGTATCAGTGTGTCCTTGCAAATGTAATTCATACTCATCTCTGGTGCCAAAGCAACTTTTGCAAAGGTGACACCTGAAGCTGATAACACCATCCAATTCCATATCTTTCAAAGTAGCATGAGGGTTACTTTTACCCTCACAAGTGTGTACTTTTAATGGGCCGATCTGAGAAAACCCCTTACCACATTTTGAACAAAAGTAAGGCCTAATAGACCAATGCACTCTCTCATGGACACGTGCCGTGCACGCTTGAGTAAATGATTTGCCGCATACCTTACAAGAGTATGGTTTTTCTCCACTGTGAATACGAAGATGGATTTTGAGGACAGACTTGTAGCAAAAGACTTTGCCACAGATCTGACATGTTTGGGGTTTCCCTTTCCCTTTCCCTCTTCCTCGCCTTCTCCTTTTAGGGGTGATTTGATTACTATGGCAGTCACTTTCCAGTTTATCGGTCATGCTTACTTCTTTCTCATCCACAATTTTCTCAGGCGTGGCTCTATCTTGGAATCTATGTGCATGTTTCCTATTCCTACTTTTGGATTTATGAACTTTGCTGTGGGATCGAAGGTTGGAGAGTTGAGCGAAGGCTTTGCCACAATCCTGGCAGGTGAAGGGCTTCTCACCTGTGTGAACACGCAGATGAATAATATACGCTGAGGCATGATTGAAAGTTCGCCCACAATATTCACATTTGATAACCCTTTTTTCTTTGCGTGGCCTTCCGCGGGAAAAGGAAGGATATCCATGTTTACTTTCTGTGTTCTCCACACTGCTTGCCTCAGCATTGGCTTCGTTTGAAAGCATCTGGTTACTGTGCTCTGAATTTGCCTCTTCAAAGGCATCGTCCAATGTTACATCTTTTTCGTTTAATGAGTCAGAAGGCGAGGCTCCTTGATTTTCAGTGTCCGAAACATTAACATCTGCAGTGTCCTCGTGGATTTTTTTGTCAGAATATTCTTCGCATTGGTTATCACTTTTATTAGAGCAGGACGTCTCACAGACAGCTTCCTCAGATGTTTGGACAGTCGAACAATGGGCTTCATTCCTTTCGGACTGACTACTTGAGATTTCATCTGTTGTAACAGACTTTTGAGTGTCAGTTTGTGGTTCATTTAATTCTTCATTAAGCAGCAGTGATTTTGGTTCATTATCTGTGGTGCTGGAAAGACAATCAGAATTTGTCTCACGGTCTTCCGAATATTTCTGTGTATCCATACCAGCCTCGTTGACAGGGGTAAAATCAGAGTTAAATTGCTGTGAAAATGTATCTACATTTACTTCACAGGAGCCTTTTTCTCTCTCTTTTTCCTCAGCATTGCAGGGCAAGGAGTCAGGTAGGACATTAGTGGCAACAGGTGATGGTTCTACCACACTTCTGTTTTGGGAGTTTAACGCCAGACCTTTCGAAATTAATTCCCCCATTCCTCTCTTCATTGATTGTTCCTGGGTGTCAGCCACATCAGAGTTGGTTTCATTCTTCTTGGCCTCTCCTTCAAGCATGATGTGCGAATCGTCTGCCAGTGCCCGAGTTCCCCGCCACCCCACTCAAGCTGAAACTAAACAGAAGGAAAAAGAATCAAAGATAAGACAACCTATTATAAGATGTATTGCATCTAATACTAAGTAGCATTAGAACTTTAGCAGCTGCTTCACTTGCTATCCATATAACAGGTGGACATATTAATTTATTAACATAAAGATAAACATACAAAACATGTTTTTTTTTTTTTTTTAAATATTATCATTCATGATATATATATATATATATATACACACACACACACGCCATATATATATATATATACAAGAATTTGTACTGGCATGAAATAGTATTGCTGTATTATGGTTTTTGATTTTGATAGCAAAATATTATTTCCATAAAAGCAGTATAAAATATTATTTCCATATTGTCAGTAATAGGCTACTCAAATGTAAAAATTTCATGCAGGGTATTGGCTCAATAGTCTGACTTCCAAAACATTTACTAGGCGTAATATAAAACCTATTTTAAAAAACTAAAAAAAAAAAAGAATTTGAATGAGTAGGTGAATACTGCATTATAATAATAATTATTATTATTAATGCGTTTATGTTTCACATGTTTCTTTGATTGGCCTTCTGCCAATGATTCGTGCTTTTATTTAAGAGGCTCATAACAGTCATTCGTTAGTTAATATAACTACAGCAAAGAAAACAAAATGTAGACGTGTGCACTATTCGTTGTCTTTGTATTTTGTTAAGTTCTTTTCTAATCGTTTTATTTCGTGATGTTCAATTCAGACTGCAAACGCACAACTCGGGTAAAACATTTTTTCCCGTGCCGCAGTAGATAGCGGCGTGATGGCGCTCTGCAGGCGTTTGCAGTCATAGGCCATTCCTGCCATTAACAATGCACGATTCTGTAATGCTTCATGCATGCTCTGTTACAGTCAGCCCTGCATCTACCAACACAGCACAACCTGTCCTTTAAGAATGGGTTTATTCTGTAAAGCGAAATTAGCGTATTTAAACATAACAGGATTAATGTGTCTGTGTTAATTCACCGCCAACGTTACCTGACGCTGGACCTATCGAATCATTTCAAATCCTCAAAACTTATTTTTTTAGAGCACCACTTATGCAAAATTGCCCATTGTTTGCTCGACTGCTCAAAATTAGATTCTGCCTTTATCTTGTAAAAAGCACATGAGAAAAGGAAAACAAAGCAAGGCAGTTTGCACCAACCTTTCATGCTCTTTCTTTTCAGCACCAATGAACTACGCTTCAGCAGGGTTGCCAGGTTTTCACAAGAAAACCCACCCAATCGCGTTTCGAAGGGGTCCCCAGTTAAAAATCGCATTCCTGGGGGTAAAATTCACGTTTTTTGGCGGGGTTCCCCTGCTAAAATTCGCATTCCATGGGATAAATATCATGTTACTGGAGTCGCTTCAACCAACGGCAACAGTGTTAAAGTAGCCCAATTCCGCGGTAAAACCGCGGACTTGGCAACATTGTTCAGGACGCATATACCTAACAAATGGGAGTTTCCTTTTCCGTTTCCGATAAAAGCCTCTAGACATCTCATTCTGGACGTGTGGCTGAATAGAGACAATCACCCAGTATGCAAATAAATAAATATTAAATCATTTTAGTTTGACTGCATTTAACGCGCAACATATGATGTCATACCCAAAACTAGCCCAATCGCGTTTCGAGGGGGTCCCCAGTTAAAAATCGCGTTCCGGGGGTTAAAATACACGTTTTTTTGGCTGGGTTCCCCTGCTAAAATTCGCATTCCATGGGATAAATATCATGTTACTGGAGTCGCTTCAACCAACGGCAACAGTGTTAAAGTAGCCCAATTCCGCGGTAAAACCGCGGACTTGGCAACATTGTTCAGGACGCATATACCTAACAAATGGGAGTTTCCTTTTCCGTTTCCGATAAAAGCCTCTAGACATCTCATTCTGGACGTGTGGCTGAATAGAGACAATCACCCAGTATGCAAATAAATAAATATTAAATCATTTTAGTTTGACTGCATTTAACGCGCAACATATGATGTCATACCATCAATTGCATATAAAGGATGGGTATCAGTATGAATTTTATTCGTTTTTATTAACAGTAAAAAAAAAACACATTAAAATGTTTCATAAAACGAAGTGTTTTGACACACATGGTAAACAAATTACACCTGCAGAAATGGTTTAAAATTAAATATGAATTTCTAAATAAAACATGAAATCATAAAAGGCAATTAAACTTACTGTACATGTCCTGACAAAGGGCTGATCTGATGCTGCATTTCATTTACACAGAAATGAGTATCATGTTGATTCATTAACAGGCATCACAAACTAACAATTAGCAATATTTACATAATGTATTAATCAAAGTTAATGTAAAATTATAAATATAGCCATTATTAAAAACATTATTAATTGTTCCTAATGCAGATTACGAACTGACATTAATTTACTTATTTGTATGGTAAAAATGTACTAGTATAGAATTAATTTTATCCTTGCAAAATGTAAACCCATGTTTGCTATAGTGTAAACTAAATTCAACATACAGAAACTTACACAAGCACTAAAGAACTCCTACCACATGACAATTAAAAGACAATTCTGACATTTTTGTGTCCCTCCTGAGGCTTTGTATCAGATGCAAATTTACCATTGTTGACTGAGCACTTTGCCTAAAGCAGCTCATGTATTTATTTGTTCAGTCCTCCATCAGATTTACTACTTAATCAGCTCACCAAATCAATCTTTATCATTTAGATGTGTCCAGCAAGTTTTACTATTACTAGCAACATTTAGCACAGTATAAAACCCTCAGGAGTTTAATCTTAAATGAACATGTGTGCATGACCACACCTGTTATTGGTTTATTGGAGACTTAGAAAGATGTCACTATTGTGTTTATTGATGCAACGTAGGACATGTTTACATCAAAATGTATTTACAGTACACTAATACACATTGGCTACCTTAAAAACAGCACTTAACTGTTCTATTTTACATTTATACAGTGCATTCGCCAAAAAATCTTTCTGTTTGTATTGGGGGGAAAATAATCTGTATTTAATAGATGAATTAAATTAAGGCAACATCAATGAAATATAGAGGAAGCTGAACAATGTATTAACAAGACAAAAAAACCTGTTACACTACTGATCAGATATGAAACTTTAACTATTCTAAATTATTTTTTACTACTAAATGGTATAATGTACTCAACAGGTGCTGCCTTATGACTTCTTTTTCAACATTTTGATTGCATATACAGCAATAAAGGCAAGCAGCAGATCCACCTTTTATGAATGCATGAACACCGTTCAAAGGAAAGGTATCGGTTTCTGCTCTAGAGCATCTTCTGTGTCATTATTCGTTGTTGTTGGTGGTGGTGGTGTTTCAGGCACTGGCCCTAATAGGCGATGAACTCTCCTCCTATGATTTCTAAGGGACACTGCGTCAGGATAGCTGCGCTGGCAAATCTGACACTTATATAGATGGTGTTGAGCGACTCCCCTCGACAGCTCATGACCTTCCACTATATGATGGACCCTCCTTCTGTGGTTTCGGAGGGACTGTTCATCTGGATAGCTGCATGGGCAAATGTGACACTGAAACTGATTGGGAGTGATGTTTTGCTCAGTACCCTTTGATGGCAGAAACACACCACCCACAATATGATGCACTCTTCTTCGGTGGTTTTTCAAAGATTTTATGTTAGGATAGGAGCGGTCACATATCTGACATTGAAACGGTCCAGAACGGACCGGTTCTAGGGTACTCCGATTAGTTTGTTTCGGCTGTTTAGGCCGATGAACTTTCCTCAAGTGATCCTTCAGGGACTGAAGCTTTGGATAGTAGCGAAGACAAATGTGACATTGAAAAGGAGTAGATGGACTGGTTTGTGCACCTGCTTGATGCAACTGTTCTTGTGCATCCTCCGCTGGCCTCATTCCGCTGTTGAGTCGATGAACGTTTCTTTTATGCTCCTCGAGTGCCTGAGGGGTTGGACAGTTCTGGTCACAAATCTGACATGTTAAGACAGACTGCCTGCTGTGTGAGACCAGGTGTCTCTTGAGCCCATCTAGACAACTGAACCAACGCACACACACCGGGCACCGAATCGGTTTAAATGCGGGTTTACAGGTATTGCTTTGAATGTGAACTTTAAGCATCAATGGGCTTTGGAATGTTGTACCACAACGAGAGCAGGTGTGTTTCTTCTGACCTGCAGTATCGCCAGTACAACGCAATCGTAAGTGTCTTAACAAGGAACTGCGGAGACTGAAGTTCTTTTTGCATTTATGGCAAGTCAGTGCCTCAGGAAATGGCCTGTTGTTCAAATGTTGAGGTGCCAAGAGTCCAGGCGGTTGGGCTTTTACGTTATGCTCAGAAAAAGACTGTTGAGGTTGCCGAGTCGGAACGCGTGATGGTAGCCCTTGGGAAAACGAATGAGGTTGTTGCTGGGCAGCTCTTTGCTCACTTGCAGAGCTTTGAGATTGGTGCAACTGCTGATGTGCCTCAAAATCCATCCACGACTGCAGGTTCTCACCACAGTGTGGACAAATGTAGGACTCCTGCGCATGCTGTTGCAGGTGTTCGAAGAGAAGTCGAGGACAAGTGAACGAGGCTCCGCATTCGCACGTCACTCTTCTTGGGAGCACAGATGGAAGTGACATGATCCCCCAGTTTCTGTTACTGCTAGTATTCTGAGTGCTTTCTTGTCGGACTGCTTGGTTTTCTGTAGATGGTGACAGGACAAATAAGTTTTCCTGAGCCACAGGTGTTTTAGGCTCCACGGTTCGTTTACTTACTACTGAATCAGTGTTTGTTGCAGGATGGCACTTCTTTTGATGCATATTCATATTGTCTTTGCGGCTAAAGAACTTACCACACTGAGGACATGGAAACCTTTTAATCGGCCCAGCCGTATTAGATGATGTAACATTTTGCTGCTTTAACTCTCTTGCCCCACAAATACTCAAGTGCTCCTTTAGAGTAAACAGACGGGAATAGCTTCTCTGGCACCCGTTGCAAACAAACCTCTTCAAGCCTTTGTTAGTCACATGCACCTGAAAGCCATTACTAGGTACTGCTGACTTCATTTCCTTGTCCTCATGAGGCTCTACAATGACAACATCCTCAGCTTCATCACAGTCGTCTCTAACCACATCTGTCAAATCGTCCTCATCCGAGTCCTTTTGATCCACATCTATTAGTACATCAATTTCAGCATCATCCAAAGGCATGGTCCACTGCTTTTCAACCAACTGATCTCTTTCCTCTTGTTTTACGTCAACAGTGTTGGCTGGTACTTCAACAGAGTTTTTAGTTGATTCAGTTGGTTTGGAGTTAGAAACACTGGCAAAGACAGACTCAAGGGTTTTTGGGGGATTTAACTGGTCCTTCAGCTGCATCTTCAGCCCAGTCTGATCTTTCTTGCCGATAGGAAGTTCTGTGTTCTGTTCCTCAATCTTTATCGGCTCTGTGCCTACGCCAATATTTATATGCTGTGTTGACATTTGATTTGTTTTCGAGTTTAGGACAGCTCTATTGCACTCCTCCAAGTTTTGAAGTTTGACATTACCGCTGGTGCCCACAGTGGTCGGGGATTTCAGAGAAGCTTTACACGGACAGTTGTGCTTTTTGAGGCTGCGCATGCGTGTGTAGCCACGCTTGCATAAAGAACAGTAGAAAATTTTTTCTGTCTGTTGAGCTGTAGGGCTGATTGGTTTCAGAGACATTTTTCCCATCAAAGGTTGATGGTTTCTAGAAAATCCATCATAGCAGACATGGCTTTCTGGGATGGAGATTACCGTTATCACAAATTGTTGACAACAAAGACAAAATTTAACTCTTTCTTTTTTATGCAGGGCATGATGCATTATCAAGGTGTCTACGTCTTGGAAAACCCTACGGCAGAGTCTGCACTGATGTCTGCCTTCCACATTGTCCCGGCCAAAAAGTTTTTGACGAGTCTCAAGAACCACCACAGGACAGAGAGTTTGTGTCACAGATATAATCTTGCTCTTCTTAGGCAACATCTTTGCAGTTTTCACACCGACCACTGTGTTGTCTTTTTTTATCTTTGATTGATTCTCCAGTGGCTTGGGTTTTGGTATTGTCATGGTGATCGCAGGTTGCATTGGTGCTCTCGGTGAAGCTTTTCTGGGGGGCAAATTCCTCTGTTTCATTTGGACGGGTTGTTTATGACTCATGTAAGCAGATGCTAGCATCTTCAGGATTGATTTCTTATTAAATGCAGCTGAATCTTCACCAGATTCTGGTGATTTCTCATTGTCTTGCACAGAATGGTTTACCACGTTGGAGGTTGTTAAAGCATCACTGTCTTGCTCAGGTAACTGTACTTCCTCTTCAGTCACAGGGTGGGATTCAGATGGCTTCAAGACGTTGCTGTCCATGTCTGCAGATTCATTGCTGTCCATGTCTGCAGATTCGTTGCTGTCCATGTCTGCAGATTCATTGGATTCAGATGGCTTCAAGACGTTGCTGTCCATGTCTGCAGATTCATTGCTGTCCATGTCTGCAGATTCGTTGCTGTCCATGTCTGCAGATTCATTGGATTCAGATGGCTTCAAGACGTTGCTGTCCATGTCTGCAGATTCATTGCTGTCCATGTCTGCAGATTCGTTGCTGTCCATGTCTGCAGATTCATTGGATTCATTCTTCTTGATGTCAGTGTTTGAAGTAGGAGGTGGACTTTGTGCAAGGGGTTTTTCATTGGAATGGGATGGTGAAAGACTGTGAAAAACTTGGTCTGAGACAGGACGGCTGGAGTCTGTTTTGCTATCTGGCACAACTGGAATACTCTCCAAATCTGATTTGACCTTGTCTTCTGACCCATGTTGTTTTTTGTGGTCTTCAAGAGCTGTAAGTTCACTAAACTCCTCGCCACAGTCACATATGTAGGTGTGGACTGGAGATGCTGGAGTGGGCAACATTACACAGTGGTGTTTTTCAAGGAGATCTTTGCTCGCAAATAAGCTTCCACAGCTGACACAAGTAGGTAGTGCCGATTCTGGCTGTTGAGAGTTATCACTTGCATGAGACGCTTGGTGCACCAGGAGTGATGCCAAATTATGAAAAGTAGCTGAGCATGCCACACAGCTGTATGTTTTAGGACTTCCAGTAGACCTTGTTTCTTGAAGTCCAAGCATTTTGTAGGTGCCAGATGATTCCTCTGCCAATGTTAAAGTTAAGAAGTGTTACCAACGTTTTTGTTATTGTTTCGTATATCCTAAAAAGAAAGCAGACAAACAACATTAGTGGCATAGCATGAGTTCAAATGTTTTGAATTTAGAAATAAATAATGAAATGTTATATTTACATATGCTGTCGTGTTTAGGGCCCTATGAGCACTCAGGTAAGTTACAATAAAAAAGTAATTAGATTTCTGTACTAATTACTTTCTTTAAAAAGTATTGCATTACTCATTACTAATTACGTTTTAAATCCCATATCAGCCTCGACCAGTATAATAGAAGGACAGGCATAAAAACTGCTCTTTTAATTCCATCAAATAAATAATATAAAATTCGATTACATTACATTATATTGAAGTTGAGCCACTGATGTCACATGGACTGTTTTACCGATGTCCTTACTACGTTGCTTGACCTGGGAACATTTCAGTTGCGTTGCTGTCTATGCAGGGTCTGAGAGCTCTCAGATTTCATCAAAAATATCTTAATTCGTGTTCCGAAGATGAACGAAGGTCTTACGGGTTTGGAACAACATGAGGGGGAGTAATTAATGACAGAATTTTCATTTTGGGGTGAACTAACCCTTTAACGCAGTACACGTAAGAATGAACTTCCACATATGGAATACAATTTAGAAAAATAAATTGTATAATAAAAAAAAATAAAAAAAAATAGATAGAATACAAAAAGACTAGAAAAGCTAGTTAGTTTTTTTTTTTTTTTTTTAAGAAAACAAGCAGTTAGTAAATGAATAGAGTGCAAGTCTAAAAGGGACAAGTTTTTTTTTTTAAAGAACAGAATTGGAATAGAGAGTGCTAGAGTTAGAGGGTCAAATAAAGATGGTAGAGATGTGTTTTTAGCCGATTCTTGAAGATGGCTAAGGACTCAGCTGCTCGGATTACTTATTCATGAACTAACCAAAGTATTTAATAGCAGAAAGTTACGTTAAAACATACATTTTAACATTAAAAATTTTGATGGTCAATCTATTATTATTTTATATAGAATTGTTCAATAATGTATACAGTATTTAATGCAATTACATCAGAAATAATTGTAATTAAATTACAGAAAAATTAAGAGTAATCCATTACTTTACTTTTTCAAGTATAACGTAATTAAATTACAGTAATTAATTAACACTGCCTATGAGTTCAGCAATGTTTCGATATAAAAGACAATTCTGTAATGCAGTCCTAAAAATGTAATTACCTTTGTACAGTGTAATTTTATATTTGGGCACATTTTGGATGAAATGAAAAAATTAAACTAGCATCAAAAACACAAACTCTTCACTCTGTTTTCTAAGATGCATGAAACTGAAATATAATGTATACAGTAAAACACAATATTCAATATAATAACAATACGAGTTGTTTTACATTATTATAATAATTACCATTATTATTTAAACTTATGTTGTTGTTTAAATACTGAACATTTCTTGATTTCCATGACATTAGGGGAACGTAATAATGTCATTTTTTAGTGCTTTTTACTTTGTGTAAAACTATCATGAATACAAAGATAACATTTCTAAAAACTTGGCACCTGTGATTATAACTATATACTTGGTAAAATAAAAAAAAAAAGCGGAAAACTCTGGAAAAATCACGTATCTCATGCAACCTCTCACATACAACCGTCGGTGAGTTCATGCATATTTAAATTTGAAAACTCATTTCTCTCAGCTAGTTCAAACAAAATTGCTACACCGCTTTCGTTTTGAAGTAAAGTGTTCAAGTTAGTTATTCGTTATACACAACCTAGGTTCCAAATGTAGCAACAATAGAGGCAGAAAATTGGCCAGCCTGCTCATGCTTAGATTTTGATAGGCCTGGCCACTTACCGTGGCACTTCACTCAGATGTTTAAATAAAAGCTGTATCACAACAATTAAACCCAAACACAAGGGTGATCTGCAGACTACTCGTCGATTTAGTTTTAGTCGAAATTATAAAATGAGCGTGAATATAACACATGCTAATAACAAGCATTGCAATGGATGCTGCAGATTTAGCACGCTCTTCAGACATAAACAGATATAACTATACAATTAGTCTGCAACATCTCAACGTTGAATTACACCTCTTTACAAAATCAAACGCGCTTTGTAGCTACATCTTGGGCGATACAGTGCATGAGGAACATGTCATTCGCGTGCTGCACAAGGGAATTGAATGACAAAAACCGCAGCTAAGGGCTGTATGCACGAAATAAAAACGAACCATAACAAGTACCTCAAACAGTTGCTAGCTTGCACTCACCTTGGGAAAGTACGATTTGCAAACTTGCATGATTTTAATGAAAGAAGTTATTTATTTTCAATCCGAAGGCGGTATGTATTTTGCACCCAGTTTCTGTAGAGACGTGTAATTCCCGCCGTTCACTAATAGAGGGCAGTATCTCTGAGCGCTCACTCCCATTCCCCACATGTAAGGCTTAAATATACCGCCATCAACTGGTGTGAGGGACCGGTCTACACTACACTTTTCTCATTAAATACAAATATTACTAATAGGTATGTTTAGGCCCAATCCCAATTCTATTTTATACCCCTTCCCCTTCCCCCTTGAAACAGAGTGTCAAGGGGTAGGGGTGAAAATATTCCCCTAAGAATTGGGACACCACTACTATGCCGTCAGCTCGTGCTGGGGCTGGTGTTGTTGGGCTGCCGATTTTGGAAAGTTTTTGCTGGGATGGGCATTTAAAACAATCTGAAATTCACTTTTGCTCCATTATCTCCTTGTATTAAAGTTAATCCTGTTAGCATTCTGTACAGTTCATGTCTGATACCACACGCTAGCCTCACGTGTTCATGAGGATTAGGCTAATCATCCCATATAGAAAACATCACAAGTAAAATTAATCATGTTTATAAAGATAAACATGGGTTTATTATAGCCCACTTACAATTTACATTTCAGAGATCATTACAAATAAATTATTAAATGCTAAAACTGAATAAATTTAAATGAACAAACTTGGCGTTGCATTTGCAACCATGTGAAAACAGGGGGTGCTGCAGCCAGCCCCCTCAGCACCCCTACTTCCCGCGTCCCTGAGTGTGGTCCCGAAAAATCTTCGTTTGAAGGGCTGTCTGGCCCTTCCCCTACCCCTACCCCTCCAACCAACAGAGAATTGAGACACCCCTACCCCTTCACATGAACGCGCGAAACGGAGGGGTAGGAGAAAGGGGAAGGGCTAAGGGGTAGAATTGGGATTGGGCCTTAATCCATCTTGGATTACTTGAGAAACACCAAACATACTGAATCGCTATAGGTCTAGAAAATAAGGATGGTAGGCCCTTCATTAAATGTCTGCAATTATAGTTAGTGTTTGGACACATTTCTGATTCAATTTATACCGTTCCATATATTTGAGTGATATTTTAATAAAAACATTGAAGAGGTTGCTGCTGTTCAGCAGGGATGAACTACTCCTTTAACCAAGAAACCAGCTAGCGTACTTAGTTGTAAAACAGAGCAACCAGATTATATTTGATTTCACCATAACTATTGATGATCATATCAACAATACATTTCTTTATTAGCTATATGGTTTACTAGAAAACAGTAAAAAACGATTTAGCAATTATCTATATAATTATCTATCATTTTATTTTGTAGAGGTCAACAAAACAAAGTAGTTGTAGCTTCTTTGTGTTGGAGCTTCCTTTATATTAATTTATGCATACAATGACAAATTGTCAACTCAAGATATATCTGGTCAGTTGACAATTTAGAAGATGATTATTGGAGGAACCATATGTAAAATTTTCTTAAATCAATCCAATAAAAAAAGGCAAAACTTAAGTAACTGGTGACAGGTTTTACTTTTAATGTATACTGTAATACCAAGGCCAAATTCACTACACACTCTGAATCTTGAGCCAAATGTCTTAAGAGGCATATACGGACAGCTCTTGACCTGTAGATATCTGCTATAGATCCACAATTACAAAAACCTAATTAGTGGCTGTAATTAACTGAGAGATGCTGAAATTCCTAATACAATGTCTCCATAATCATAATTGGTAATATTAAAGTTCCAAACAGCAGCATGATCTGTAAAAAAAAAACAAAAAAAACAAATATATATATATATAAAACTTAACTCAAAACATTATAGATCATTTAACTTTAACATGACTAATATATGTTTTTGAGTAAGTCAATTTCTTTCCCCACTGTTTATGAGTGGTGAACCCCCTTTGGGACTACCATCTAATATAGGTTTCAGCCACTATGGAGAGGTATTTTATCACATACATGACAGTGAGGTTGGTTTCCAGTCATTATTACAAAATCTAATTGCCAGTATGAGAACAATCCTGTATAACAAGTATAGCTGTATAGCTTATACTTTTAATAAGATTCACACCAAGTTACTGACTGTTGACTTTATTATAAATTAGACTTCCTTAGTGATATAAACTGTGGTTCTTTGTGACCTGTTACCTCAAATCATTCCATAAGTGAAAGAAACTGCTCAAACAACAAAACGGATGTAAATGTTTTTACTAGTTGAAGGAATTCTCAACATTGCCATATAAAAGTAAAACTAAACATCAGGTTTTCATAGGCATATATGTCAGCACTAATGTAGATTAAAACACATACAGAATGGATACAGAATTATCAAGCCTGAAGTTTACTTTTTTTGAGGAAAGCCATTCAAGTTAGACTCCTCAAGAAAAAGGTAAATCTGGATTATGTAATAACATTAACTCAAAGGCATTCACATCATATATAACTACTGTGTAATAACCCCTTAACCTGACCTTAAATATTTACAAAGAAAGAAAAAAATAATTAACATGGCTGGGCATTACTATGAAACATTAACATTAATCTACAGATTTCCTCTAACTTTCATAAGGATATTTAAAGCAAGGTCAAAAATGGAGGAATGACGCAGGATTTACTATACATCCTTGTGAACTGTACTGTGGAACATCAACATCTCCAACAACCGCATTCATGCACATATGCCTATAGTTTCATACATAATCTAGATTACGTAAATTTAATTTACATCAGTCTGATTACTGTACAAAGAAAAATTAGTGAGCAGTTCACAGAACTGTAGAACAGAGCAGATTGTATGAACATTAACAGACCAATTCTGAACTAGGGTAAAACACCAATATCATATTTCAAAGTGGATAAAAGCAGTTAGGCCAATGTAAAAACAACAATGTACAGTTTATCTTAACAAATAACGTTCAGAAAATTGAATGATTTTGAATAACCTGCATTGCAGGAAACTGAGTCATCAGTAATTCCACCTTCATTCATTTACTGAGCTTTGATAGGGAAAATGGGTTGGTGATTGGGACTGAAGAGATTCTGTAGAAGCAGCACCATGAGTCCTCTGATGTTCCTCCAAAAGATTTAGAAAAGCAAAGGCTTTGTCACACTCTGTGCATTCATAGACCACTTGTCCTACATGGGTTTCTTGATGCTTTTGCAAATGAGCAAACATGGTGAAGGATTTATAGCACATATCGCATCGGTATTCTCGGTTGTCCTCACTCAGGCTTTGATGTTCAGCATGTTTCCTTTTATGTTTTGCAAGATCATTTGCTGTAAGGTAGGTTCTACTGCATATTGGGCACTGGTGTTGCCTTTTTGCGTCATGCATTTTACGGTGAGATATAAGAGCCGGTTCTGTTTTAAAGGATTCTGAGCACACTTCACATTGGTAAGGGCGTTCACTGTGTATCTGCTGGTGCTGCGTAAGGTAACGTTTCTTTGTAAAGCCTTTTTTACAAACCAAGCACTTGAAAGGACGCGGATCCTCATGATGCTTTTTATGATGCTCCATTAAACTGCTATTGGAGGAGAACCGTCTTTTACAGATAGGACAAATAATGAAGTCTTCTCCAACATCAACCTCCTCTTCTTCATCACCCGCTTGAAAACGAGTGCCTGAACTCTGCTTCTTGGAGGAAGAGACAGATGGCGCTGAACGGTGCTTTTCTGAAAAGGTCACATTTCTATTACTACAGTGGTGTTTGCGGAAAGCATCACTTCCAAGAAAGCTGTCTCCACATTCTGTGCATTCATACTGAGTAGCAGCAGTCAAATGGCATTGTTCATGTTCATCAAGGTCTTTCTTAGTGGGAAAAGTCATATTACAAACACTGCACATGTGAGAATGAACAGAGAGGTGATTCGCAAGGTCCAAAGCTTGGTAAAAACTCTCTGGACATATGGGGCACTGGTAAATTTTGTCACGCTTCACAGGTTCCACACGGATCATCCTTTCACTGGTAGGAAAGTTAGTGTCCTTGGAAGCTTTTTCATTCCCATGGCTTCGTAAATGAGTGAGAAAAAGTTGGTGGTGGGTGAAGCTCATGCTGCAATGATTACACTGATAAGACCGTGGTCCCGTCAACTGATGGCTGAGCTGATGCTTTTTCAGGTGTGAACCATGTAAAAAATGCTTGTTGCATTCAGGACATGAGTATGGCCGCTCTTTTGCTGGATTGCAGCCATGTTCTGAGAGCTGTTCTGGATCTGAAAATCTTACTTGACAAATTCCACAGCGATACTTGTACTGCTCAACATTACTTGTGATGGCAGGAGTCACTTGCATTGTTTGAGGTGGTTTGGGGGGAATCAATGGTGGAAGCTCTTCTTCTTGCTCTGTGTGCATCTTGCGATGCTCCGCCCGACTTGTTTTGCAGGAAAAGGTTTCATCACAAAGGTCACATGGAAAGTTTTCATCACGGTGGGTAACCATGTGTTCAGCTAATTCCGTTGAGCGTGTAAAGCTCAGGTGACACTTGGTACAGCGGTGAGGACTCTTTCTGATATGCGTTTGCTTGTGTTTGCGCAGGCTGAAGAGCGAGACAAAACCTTTACCACACATTTGACACTGAAACTCTGACTTGTGGCACCGCTGATGTTGTTGCAAGTTTGCGAGCTGAAAAAAGCACTTCCCACATTCTTCACACTCGAAGGGTTTTTCGCCAAGATGACATCTTTGATGATCCTCAAGACTTTCTGATGTTAAGAATGTTTTACCACAAACATGGCAAGGAAAGTACGGTGCTGAATCGGAGTCATTGTCGCTGTCATCTTCATCTTCAAAATTTCTGGAGTCTTCCTCATCTGATTCCTGACTTGCACTGCCGGAAGATTTTTTCAATTCGTTATCAGCGAGGGTTTTGATAAAATCCTCTTTGTGTTTTATTTTGCAGTGCTTCATGTATGACTTTTTTAACATATAGGTTTTGTCACATGGTTCACACCTATATACTTCAGGCTGCTCCGTTCTTGCTTTCACACTAGATTCTTTCGACTTGGGTGGTTGTGCATGCAAATGAGCCATCCTATGGTGAATGGTCAGGGCTTTAGCAGTCAAAAACCGCATCTTACAACTGTTACAGGCAAAG